AACGACGACGTCGACAGCGGCGGCCGGCCGGCGGACGACGCCTGCGAAAGGTTCGTGATCTGGAACCCCGACGACGTCATCGACGGCTGCAGGCTGTCCGCTCTCCCCGCCGTCAGAGAGGACACGAACGAAGCCGCCGGAGACGCGAAGCTGATGGTTGTAGACGTCTCCCTCCGCTCGATCTGCCCTGTCTTTACCGCCGGAAGCGGCGGCAGCCGCTGCAACGGCGGCTGCGCCGGAGCCGGGCAGTGAGTCCTGGAGCCTTGGCCGGTCTCCTCGGTTTTCGGGGCAGGGGCCGATGGATAGGGCGGTTCGGCAACTGGAACCGGGTTCGAGACTGGTCCTCGGCGGAACCGGGCGTGGCCGGCACGCGGGGTCCGGTCGAGGAGGGAGATGAATTTCTTGAAATCGCAGACGGCGGCGTCGGCAGCTGCCCGGTAGTCTCCGGCGGCGACCTGGTTGGTGGCGGCCGGAGAAAGCAGCCTGATGAGTTTCTCGACGCTCCTCAGGCCGGCGGCCCCCGCCTCCCGGGCGTCGGTCACTTCCATTTTAGACGCCAAGTTGTATCCAGGCATCAACTCGACCGCCATTAGAGAGAGAGAGAGGAGTTCAAAGGAGGAGAAAAAATTGAAGAGACGATGAGAGTCTGAGTCAAAAACATATATGTGGACTTTCTCTCTCTCTGACCGGCTCACCGTCAAACAAGAGGGCAAATGATATTGCTGCACGTGGCATTCAAAGCATTGACCGGAAGTTTTATAATTAGATGTGGTGGGTGGGACCAGGGAGCCGGTGGGTGGAATTGACGATGGGAAATAAGGGTGCAAAAGTCAAAGGTAAATAAATAGGCAGTTTGATTGGGGAAACGACAAAGCCCGAAAGTTGATTTTGGTGAGTGCGAGACAGCGAGGTAGAGTTGACCTCATAATATATGCTTTAAATACAAAAGTCTTTAAATACAAAAGTCATGAAAGCTCGGACCCACATCGTTTCACTTTTATTGTCCGTGCTATGCAGCAGAAAACAATATTACGATTATATTAAAAATTAAATATATAAACATTAATCATGATTTGTCCATTGTTTTTCATTCCAGACCGGCCTGAGTAACTTGGAGACTTGTCCGAGTCGATTTTCGGGCCGAGTTTAAAAACTATGGATTTACCCCTTACTTTTAAATTAAACCATGTTGGATACAGTCCGACTGGATGGACCGAGAATCGTTTTATAACCAGTCTAGTTCTTTTGAATAAAATATTTTCTGTCGAATTTCTCAACACCAGTCGGTTGGACTGGTAGAATCCATACGATTTTCTAAATAAATTTTGCTACAATAAAAAATATTTTAAATAAAATTAAATGTTTAAATAAAATAGAGGTTCACAAATTGTTTATCAATTAGTTTAAACATTTAAATTTACAAATTATATATATATTAAGTAACACATTTTATTTAAATTTATTACAAAAAGTATTATATATTTATATTAAAATATTTATAAATTTAAATATGAACAAACCACAAACGATTTTATAAAATAACTTGATGATTTTGATGACTGTCCGATTCTGAAAACGTTTATTTACTGTACATTAATAAAAGTTATAAGTAAATATTATTTTATATTTAGGTTCCATAATCGATTTGGTCTGGTCAAACAGATACATAACTTAGTCACCTGGAACGAACCAAGTTATGCCAAGTTTTTTACTATTTTAAATATCAGCTAAAAGTAATTCAATCAACTTACTTAGACAATACCCTAATTCAATAACCCGTTATCCAAAGAAATTTTCTTATTTTCTTAATTTAATTTTATAAAATAAAAATATTTTTGTCCTTTGAAGCAGTACATGATTAGCTAAAAATTTTCTATCTCTGTGTCCTTTGAAGCACGAGTTTTGTCGAGATTTGTAGGTTTTTTTTTTAATGTGCAGAAAAATGCTAAAGTTGTGTCGATCGATGGGTATAAGGATGTGCCTACGTGTGACGAGAAGGCCCTGCAGAAGGCGGTTGCCAACCAGCCGGTGGCTGTTGCCATCGAAGCTGGTGGCAGGGACTTCCAACTCTATGAATCAGTAAGAAGTGCCCTTCATTGCATCTAAAAATCATTACACTAGCACTTAGCAGCAAAATACTAATTGGTCATCTTGTCAGGGCATATTCACTGGAAAGTGTGGGGTCCAGCTGGACCACGGGGTGGCGGCCGTGGGGTACGGCACGGCCAACGGCAAGGACTATTGGATCGTGCGAAACTAATGGGGCCCGAGCTGGGGTGAGAAGGGTTACATCCGCATGGAGCGTAACGTGGCTGCCCAGTCGGGCCTGTGCGGGATAGCGGTTGAGCCCTCGTACCCGATCAAGACAGCCAGAACCCACCCAACCCAGGCCCATCTCCTCCGTCTCCTGTGGCCCCACCATCTGTGTGCGACGAGTACTACAAGTGCCCTGAGGGCAACAAGTGCTGCTGTGTATACGAATATTACGGGTATTGCTTTGCATGGGGATGCTGCCTGTTGGAGGGGGCAACTTGCTGTGAGGACCATTACAGCTGTTGCCGGCATGAGTATCCGGTCTGCAACATCTATGCCGGCACTTGCCCTATTGTGAGTCTGTTACTCCTTTTTTTCTTTTTTTTTTTCTTTTTTAATGCAGAGCAAAGACAACCCACTTGTGGTGAAGGCAATGAAGCACATTCTTGCCAGGCCAATCGGGACTTACAGCAAAGACGTGAAAAGGAGCAGTGCCTGATACGTATTTATGTTGCCTGAAAATCTCAGACTCAGAGAGGAGGAGATTAGGAAGGGGGCAGATTTGCTCGGACAGAACAAATTATTTAGATACTTTCGATTTGAAATGGTATCTATATGTGTTGTACTTTGTTTGGCTAAAACCTCACCCGTTGTTGAGGGAGGGTGCCCAGTTTGTATATGGTTTTACTTTGGAACATTTGATGAACAGCAGAAACTGATATATTTGTGGTCTTATCATTGTACAGTTTTTATGTGAAAGCGAGACACCTAATCAATCGAATGGCACAATAGGAATCAGATCACAAATTTATGTGAAAATGAAACAACTTATCGATCAAATGGCGTATAGGAATCTGATTCACAAAATTGTGACAACAGGCTGAAACTAAATTACCTCAAGCAGGAGAAATTAGTGGCACGTAATGGTAAATAAATTTTACGGAAAGGTAAACTAGGGAGCTACATGTTCCAATGAGCACGACTAACACATGAAATGCTAAAAGAATACAACAGTCAAAATATTCTGTTGACACTATATAACGTAAGTACATCTTCAGAATTTATAGGCCCGAATCTACCTGAAGAACTTAAGGCCTTGCAGTGCTCGACTCATCGGCTGGGGCTGCCTTTTTTCCGTAACGCTGAATAGAAAATTGTGAAAATATTTAGTAAGACGAGCAGAAAGTGTTTCACTGTAAACACAAGGATAAAACTGAAAAAGGAAAAAGAGAGAAGGAAATCGTGAGTTTATGACTAATCAGTACACAGAGAAACACACCTGCTTCCCTAGTGTAAATGGGACATATTTATATTTAACCATGTGCATTATTTGTCTCTTCATGGTCGATACGAACAGAACCAACCAGTAGAATAGCAGAATTGGCCAGAATACAGGCACGTCAAAGGCGCTGAAAAATGTCAGCACAAAAGCAATGCAAAAGGCTTTCATGAGAGAATGCCTGCAGTTGAAATCAAATGATCAGTCCATGCATTTTCTCGATCTAATTTAGGAACAGAAGATAGTGATCAACTGTAATATCGGTTATACTTCCAAGACTTCTGGTCACTTTGTTAATTTCATTCCTGTTTCCTTTTCTTTTTTTTTTTCTTTTCTTTTTATGGGAAAGAAATTCTGACGACTCCATGAATGGAGAATCTGAGTGGCATGCATATATCATTTCATAAAAGATTATATATCTATCCTGACTTCAAGTACTTACGATATTAAAATGACTAAGAAAATTCTTCCTATATGAGTTAATTTAAATTCCAGACTTCGGAGATAATTTACACGAAAAGTAGACAGACTCTGCCCAAAACTTTCTCTATACACTATATTTAGTATTGTTATCCAAACAATGTCAGCATTAAGTTATCGAAGGAAACGAAAAACTCGTATTTCAGAAGCATTTCTGCATAATCCTAAAATTTCAAAGAACATAGAAATGGAATATTAGTCTAGCCACAGATATGAATAAAAGGACCCAAACAATGGTCTACATATCTAGTCTGTAGATACTATATAAGCACATGCACGAAGCTCTAACAAAAATACTGGATATAAATGAGCACAGTCCCATACAAAACAACAAGTTAGATACCATCAAATGGAGTTGAGGAAACAGAAACCCAATTTGTGAAAAAAGTCATTACATGTATGGTTGAATAAAAAACACCTGGTACTGATGGTAACCCACGCACTCCCTACTCGATCCATACTAGAGACCCATATGTTGCTAAAAAGATGTTCACGATCACCTAAGTCAACCCAAGATCGACTGTTATTCACTAGTAATTAAATACATTTAGTTATACTCAGTTACAGCTTAAACTGACAAAAATCCAGAATAGTTGGATTAGGAAGAAGAAGAACTAATCACTTTCTAGATGCACCTCCAGATCTTCAGAAGTACTTAATCTCACAAATAAGCACTCTATTAACAGTAACTCATAACCATTATTTTTCATGCTTAATTTCTTTATGAAATACAAATAATTTTCAAACTCAGCCAACTCAATCTATAGCTAGCAATTCCAAAATTCCATTAAAAAACAAAAACACAAAGAATTCTCTACTATATTTCATCCTACTCTTCTCCCTTATGTTTCATTTAATTCTACTCTATTTTTGAATTGTTCAATCAGCTCAGCTCATAGCCATGGATCCACAATAATCAACTAACATAAAAGGATAAATTTCAATTGTAATCTTTGCCTATATATAATAAGGCTTCTTCAAGAAAAACCCCTACTTTCTTATTCCACTGTCTGAAGTTTATCTAAAATCAAAGTTAATTTCCCTGAATGTTGGAAGAGTAAACCGGCATTCCTATCACTCAATTAACTGTACCGAGTATTCCACAAAACCAACAAATCTAATACTAAACTACAAAAAAATTCTCATTTGTTACTGTATAAACATAGACTGACAAGACCAGATCATCATATTTGACCGATGAAAAATTCTGCAACAGCCCGAAGAAAGAAAAAAAAAAATTAGTGTCCAGAAGATTTCAAGGGTGCATATCCATTTGTTAAGCAAACAAAGAGACGGGCATGGAAAAAAAACATATCCGAACTTAGGGCCTTGTTCCCCCTGCAATAAAAGATGCAAGTCAGTCATCACCACCGGGTGATTAACCCTACTTCTCAAGATGGCTATCTCTTCTGTGATTCACTTCGTATCCAGATAAAAATTAGTCAAAACAAATGAGCACGAATCAGATATCACAAGCGAAAGCACAACATAATAACTGGAATAGCATTAACCGACCCACCCCAGAAACTAAATCGCACATTCTCATACATCCCAAATGAATAACATTAACCGACCCCCAGATTAGCACCAGAAATTAATTAATCGCAGATTCTCATACATCCCAAATGAATAACCTAACCTATTTTAGGCGCGATTGGAACTGAAACACCATCATACCAAGAATTGGATAGAATCACAGAACAATCAATTGTGACATAATCTACACAATCATCTCACCAAAACTTAAATTCGGGGAGGCGGCGGACAAAGGGGCGGAACTCGTCGGAGCCGCGCGTGGGGAGGGCGGGGCCGTCGGTGAGCTCCTGTATCTCGGGGTCCACTTGCGGCGACAGGAAGGCGATTAGCAGCTGGAGGATGTAGATTCCGAGCCCGTAGGTGATGATGTAGAAGCCCTGGACCAGGTAGATGCGGAGGGCGAAGACGAACGCGACCGCGGCGAGTGAGATCCAACGGTGCAGCACCATCGGCGTGGATTTGTCCAGCAGATGCTGGTAGCGCCGCCACACGGCGTGGCTGAGCTGAGTGACGGCGGAGGTGGTGGTGGTGGTGGTGCTGTCGTCGCCGATGCCCGCTCCGCCACCCATATTCATTATTTTATTTATTTATTTATGTTTTGTTTCTTTGTTTTGGGGATCTACTTTTTATCTACTTACTCAGGGAGGAAGGTAACCAACTGAATAACGCCTCTCCCTCGTCGTGTTCTATTTTATTTACCTGTTTTTTTATTTTATTGAATTATTATTTCAATGCTAACACTGCATAACTAGAATTTACACCCCTTACTTCAAGCTTATTATAAATATACACTTAATATATCAATATTTATTGTATCACCAAAATCAACTTAAAATATTGCAACATTACCTACAGGAGCCGTTTAAGTAATTGAGCTAATTAAGAGGAAGTTACTGATTTTTCTCAAAAACTAGTTTTTGGCCCGTGCATTTGCACGGAAAGTTATATGGTAGAAGAGAATAAAGTAAAAAAAAAACAAATATAAAAATAATAACATAATCATTGAAACAAAATAA